AGAGGATGAGGAGGATGAAGATGCAGAACCCATCGTTGGCGAGAGCCGTACCTTGATGCAGTTCCACTTCCTTGGTTGGCCAGATTTCGGTATCCCCAAGTATCCTCACAGCATGCTGTGCTTCGTCAAACGTATCAGGCACATGACAGGGACCCGCATTGAGCCCGGCAACATTGTGGTGCACTGCAGGTAGGGAGTTCTTGACGTAAGCAAACTTTCAGGGTGGCGCTGTAAAGTCTGGCTGTCATGTGCAGCTTGCCATGTTGGAATGGTAGGTTTGGCTGTGAAAGTTAAAGGCTAGCGGCTAAAGCTTATTCCCATAGGTTTGTATATGCCTTCCAGCTGAAGCCAGTTAATTCAGACATGACTATTCATTATATTTGTTTCTTTGTGGTATTTTATTCTGCAGTGCCGGCGTGGGTCGTACAGGTACCTACATCCTAATCGACTACATGCTGGACATGATGAAGAAAGAGAAGAAAGTTGATATCTACAATGTCATCTACTCCCTTCGCAGTCAGAGGAATCTGCTCGTTCAGTCACTGGTATGTAGAATGCAAAATGTACCGTGATATTGGTCTTCAGGCTGATATTTGTGATTTAATCCTAACCATGCTGAACCCAACAAGGTTATGCAGGATTTCAATGGTCCCTAGGGGGTTATGGCCCTAACCATGCTGAATCCAACAAGTTTATGCAGGATTTCAATGATCTCTTGGTATGAAATGACTGAGAATTACATGTGTACGTCTGTGATGGGATACCAATCTATCGCAACTGTCTTCCGATTTGATACTGGTGTAGCAGGCAACTTGACTTTGTCTGCGTCTTCAGGCATTAGTTTCAGGAATTAAGATGTCTCATCAATTTAAGAGGAACTCTTTAACTCGGAGGAATGTCAGTTTCTACCACAGAAGTTTTTACCTGTCTAATTTAACAAACCTGTCCTCACCAACAGGTCCAGTACATCTTCATCCACAAGGCTTTAATGGAGGAATATCTGTATGGCCATACTGAGGTGGATGTTGGTAGTATGCGTCACTACTATCAAAAGCTATGTGGCAAGGCGTCTGATGGTGAAGACAC